GATTCATTTCTTATGTGGAGTTTTGGGTGCTTTACATAACATATAAACACATTGATAGTGTGAACTTCATCTTCTTATGTGGAGCTTTGGCTATTTCATTAGCTTAAGTTGCATTATAAAGCTACATTACCTTTATCTATTCAAATATCGTTGGAAAAGGAAATAATTTGGAACAGAAGCTATGGTTTGATTTTGAAGCTTTTATTTGATTTTGCGAGTTCTTTTTTTAAGTTAAAGACCCACCAGTGAGCGAAGAAAATCTCGCTCGAGCCAAGAATGCACAGCTACAGGTCCAAATCAAACACTACCTCTCGCTCGAGCGAACAACTCCTCGCTCGAGCGAAGAACCAAAAACCTGGACAGCAACTCTTGGTTTCTAAACCCAACCAACCTGAAACAAACCTGCCCAACACATCCTATAATTCCAAATGAGAAAATAAGGAATAACAACAACAACCATTATACAATGACAGAATCTACGGAACAGTCCGGATACAATAATTAAATGGGAAAAGATCGGGGTCGCTATAGAGGAGGTCGTTTTTTTTTCCTTTTATTTTTTTTTAAATAATCTTTAGCATGATGTTCACATTTTGATTTGGGTTTAATTTGATTTGATTGTAGAAGTAAGCAAAGCAGGGCCTCTGGTTGAGTATGAGCGTAGAATTGCCACGAGTGATCTTGTGGATGGGGATAGTAGTGAGGTAATATTGCAATCAATTCACTCTTCATGTTTGATTATAAGTTTCAAAGGAAAAGCTAGTAGTTTGTATGTCTCTTCCGAATTTTCTCCAACCTAGAAGGTTAAGTTTGTCATATTCGATCAGAATTTTAGGTGAAGTAGCTGTGTATCAGTTAGTTATCATGAGCATACCACTAACTTTTGGTCTAAGAAGCATGGACACGGACACATGACACGACACGGATACGACACGGACACGCCGACACGTTAATTTTCAAAAAATGAAGGACACGACATGTAGGGGACACGCGTGAAATATGTAATTTTATATATTTATTATATGTTATATATATTAATATATCATTCAAAGATAAAAAAAAATGCAATATGACACTAATTCTTATAAATTTATATGATTTTTGTTTTATTATTGTATCTTAAGTTATTTTGTTTAAACTTATAGTTAGTTTCACATGTATCCAATCGATAGACACGTGTGTTTATGTGATTGACATGTGTATCTTCTAAGTATCCAAAGAGTGTTCGGCTGTTTAAAAAAATTTAAAAATTAGGACACGTTTTGAAGAGTGTCGGACACGTGTCCTAAGAGTGTCCAAAGAGTGTCGGTGTCCGACACGGGCACGACACGGATACATCAACTTCTTAGAAGTGTCCGTGCTTCTTAGCTTTTGGTGTACCATTCTGGATTTATAATTTATAAACATTAATTTGTCAATTGTTGTGGATTTATATATAGGAGTCTTTAATACAATTAAAAAAAAACAATAGTTAAACATTTTATCAATTTATACAATATATTCTTTAAGAAAATTAAAAAAAAAAAATCAATGTTAAATAGTTTCTTCTAGAATGTATGCTAAATTTCGTTTCTTCTTGTTTGTGATATGTAATTTTAAATTTTTGAATGAGGCAAGTTGAAGTGAATGTATGTGGATGCATGTGGCTGTTATTACCAAAAATATAAGGAAAATGTTTTGTGTCTCGACTAGCACTACAAGAAATTACATTTTTCGCAACGCAAGAAAATATGTTGCTAAAAGGGAAAATTCGTTGGCAAAGAGTTTTGCCGACCCACAAAGCTACGTTGGCAACCCGTAGGCAAAAGTGAGTCGGCAAAAGTTTTTGCCGACGAAATTATCATTGCGTTGGTAAAAGAATGCCTTTAGCGACGAACATAATCGTCGATAAAAGCCTTCATCCATCGTCGGCAATTTACCTTGCGTCGGTAAAAGTCATTCAAATATGATGATTGTGTGGCACTTTTCGCGACACAAATTTGCATGGGCAAAAAATATACTTTTAGCAACAAAATATGCGTCGGCAAAAGTAAACTTTTGGCGACACATTTACATTGGTAAATGTTGCCATTTGCCGACGATTTGTTTGTCGCTAAAGCTTTACTTTTGGCAATGACAAATTGACATTGGCAAAAAATACACTTCTACCAACACAATATGAGTGGGCAAAAGTAAACTTTTAGCGACACATTTACGTCGGTAAATGTTGCCATTTGCCAACGATTTGGTTGTTGATAAAGCTTTACTTTTGGCAACGACAAACTGGCATTGGCAAAAAATACACTTTTAGCAACATAATATGAGTGGGCAAAAATAAACTTTTGGCTACACATTTACCGACAAGTTGTTTGTCGAGAAAGCTTTACTTTTTGGCAACGACAAATTTGTAGCGGCAAAAAAAATTGAAAATCATATATATATTTTTATAAGATTTACATATTTACAAGAGGCATCCCTCAGGCCCTACTATTACAAACAAATAACATTGATATTAAATCACCTAAAGTTGATGTGTAGGCAAAAAAACACTATTGAAAAATATGCTTTTGGAAGCGTTATATAAAACCTAAAAGGGTAAACTCACTAAAATACTCAAACACATCCAAATTGTGAACCCATAGTAAAAACAGCAGATAACAAAATGAAACATGAAACTAACAACCCAAATTTGCAACAGACCAGCATCTAGCAGCAGCCCGCTTCACAGCAGCATTGCAGCAGCAGCATCCCAACAAAATTCTGCAGCAGCACACCGGCAGCAGCAACAGAAGACCAGCAGACCAGTAGCAGCAGCAGACCAGCAACAGACCAGCAGCAGCAGAATTAAAGGTACCAGTAGCTGCATCAAACACATAAAAAACAGAAAAACAGCTGCGAAATACCAGGGCACATGTTTACACTGTTCAATATATCTAAAATAGAAAAGGGATAAATAAATAAAGAAGGCGAAGAAAATAATCCCAAACAATGATGCAAATGATGAAAGTGTGGCATAAATGGTAATGAGCGGGAAATCTGCAGTTCTAAGAAGTTAATCACGAACTTGGAAATTTATATCACATTGTCTTTTGTATAAGGTTCCTTTTCCCCAAACGATGGCTGAAGCCAAAACAAAAGAAAGCAAGATCACAAATGCACCCTTCTCAAACACCCAACACCTATCCAATAACGTTAGAAGAGTCTTGGGAGCATCATGTATAAGCATAAAAGTTTGTTTCCCTCCATATCAAATTCAACTCACAGACACAGACATTCCTAAGAAAGTGTAAAGTCCATATTTGCACTATTGTTACAATGTAATGAAGATGAACTCTTATGATTACATGGATTAAAAAAATGGATGCATTATTGTTAGAACTTACATCGTTCCTGCCACACGGGTACTGACATGAGTCATGTTGGCTGGAATAAGTTTTGGTAGACCAAAATCTGAAATTTGGGTGTCAAGTCTTTCTCGAGGAGAATATTGCTAGCTTTGATATCTCAATGAACGATATGTGGTCACACAACAAAGCTTGGTCAGTATGGGATTGATTTTTGGTTCCCTTCAAACAAAGAAAAAGGAAATAAGGCATCAATGACTGATTCAATAAGATTATCAATAAAAAATAACATAGATAAAGTCAAAGTGGCAACCTAAAAGTGGCAAAAGAGCAATAGAACCATTATCATCAAGATGTAACTCTGCTTTTACAAGCTTTGCAGTTATAAAATACATGAAAAGAGAGTCATAAGCAGTCAGAAATTGAACAATTACAAGCAGGGTATGGTGCGAAACAATCTAGTAGAAAAATTCAAGAGTACATGACAAAAGCTAGCATCAGCAGCCACACGTCTTTCCAGTAATATGCAACCATTTAAACAAACAGTCTATCATTATCAAACAGTTCATCTTGCTAAATAACATCCACTGCCACAACTTGTTAATCCCTAAAACATGGGTTTACAGGTGGATATTTTGATCATGGGAGTTGCTACTTGATATAAAGGAGATTTTAATTACAACAACCATAGAAGATGTATTAAGAGAACTACAAATTAATATAACAGTTTATAAAATTCTCATGAAACTTACAATAGGCCAGTAAGGTAGCCAAAAATGTGCATCCGAGCTGAGGGACTGTACTTGAATACATATATTGTCTCACAAAGGCGTCTCAATGCTTGAACTTCCATCAACAAGAGCAGAAATACAGATTGCCAAACCCTGTATCTATATTTTACAGTGCGCAAATGAGAATGAGATTATGAAAAGAAAGGATATCCGAACCCCCAGTTAAGTAGCTGACAATAGTGGAGTATTGTAAAGGCCCAGAGGCCAATGGTGCCTCTTTATATGCATAAAACCAAGTTGTGACCAGCAACAATGTTGTCCACACCACAGCCAACACATAAAAATGACTGAAGAATTTCTGAGGTATAGTGAATTTCTGCAAATCAACAATTTAACAGAGACATTTATTATGGATATATAAATAACTTCAGCAAAAAAATGTACTTGAAAGCTTCAAATATGTGTATATATATAATTAGAGGAACATAGTACGATCGACCATGCTTGGACATATGACACACTAATCATGGAAACTAAAAGATGAGAATATAAACTATATCAATGACAACAGAAAAACCCAAAAACTAAAAATTAGATGGGGTGAGGAGAGGGAAAGGAAAGAGAGAAAAAAGAAAAATGGGAAAGGATTAACATTTATACTTGAATAAAATTACAAGTTTTCATCTCTAATACAATTATATTTGAATTTCCATCAAATTGTAACTAGTTTGTCTACTCACCACTTTTTGGTAATTTTTCTTAAAATAAACAGTAACAATGACAACTTGAATAATAAGATTCCTAAGAGGATTAAAAATTCATAACACCACAAAAATTCCATGTCTAGAAAATTAAGAAAAAAAAAGGGTCCTCAAAAGAAATCTGAAATCACTATTATCATGGACAAAAACCCAAAAGATCAAAAAGGTTAAATGATAAGTAGTACTAGAACATAGAATATAATGCAGATAAAATTATCCCAAACAAAAAGAGGAGGTAAAAGTACCAATTGGAGTGAAAGTCATAGCGAACCAAATCAATCCCAACTAGGTTGGCACCCATAAGGCCGCTCAATCATATGCCAGCACACCATCAAGAGTTGGTGAAAAACCAACCACAAACACCGAAGCCAACCTCACCCAAGCATAAAAAAACCAAAACTAACAAACTAACACACATAAAGAAAGACAAGAAACACCAACAAACACAATATCAGCAGCATGAGCACCAAAAAAACAGTAGCCAGAGCACACAACAAACACCAGGGAATGAACACCAGAGCAGCCAGCAGCAGACATACAAACCAACAACCACCAGGGAATGAACACCATAGCATCACAGCAGACAAACAAACCAACAACCACCAGATCAGACAGCATTGCACAACATAAATAATCAGACTAACTCTGCTTCAAACAAGTCTCGGTGGTGGAATATGATAAATCTGTCATTCATGATGCAAGGAAAGAACTTATGTCCGGGCAACAATTGATGCCATCTTGAAGAGAAATAAAGAATTTGGGCATTCAACAGATACTTAAATAGTCCATTGTCGTTCACTTAGAAGTTGAGATGAGTGCATTGCATTTGAAAGCATTTGAATATATGTACAACTACTCTTTTGCAAGTGTTAAGCAAAACTACACAAATACAATTTCACAATGACAGCTTTAATTTATAGGATAGAAAGATTACATATGTATCTACAGCCTACTAGATTTCTCCTAATTCTACTAGAAAAAAGACTCAAAAATAGAGAATTTTGGCTGTTTGACAATTAAGACTTTTCTATACCCAATAAAATCACAAATAACAATCCAATAATACAGCTTGACTAAAAAAAAAAATGAAAAAAATCCCTGGATAGATCCATACTTCTACAACCCAAATCTAGCAAAATTGAAAGTAACAAAACCACCCTTAACTACTAAACCAAATAAAGCCTAAATAAACATATCATATAGTCATGAACTAATGAGAAACATGAAATGAACACTCATGTTGATCCTACACTTAATTACAGAAGTCCAAGTGCAGTCCATGTAAAATTGGAGCCTTGCCCCTTTTTAGAATATTATGAACTAGACATCCATGTCCTATTGCATTTACCTAAGCTAATGTACCACATTATGCATTACAATGCAACTTCTCAATCATGAACATCTAACATGGAAATATATCAGTCATATATTGCAGGAAATTAATCTCGCCACATCGATGTTAGATGAATGATAAAGTGAAAAAAAGAAAATATTGGCACCCAGGTGTTGAATCAACTGTCAAGTAACCACTTGGGTCCTTTGCCATGGGAATCCCGAGTGATTTGAAGATTTTAATGTCTTTGTGAATGGAGTTAGATTTGAGTCCAACATTCTTTTGAATCTTTCTCCATTTTATAAACTACAAAATCATACCTTCTTAGGCATTGTCTCTCCTCCATCTAATACTGACTGAATACAGGTTACACTATACTATACTACTCTCTGATACTGACTGAATACAGGTTGCTATCATTATGTAGTTGGGCAGCCAGTGAACACAAAATCATGGTCCAGTTATTGTCTTCCTCTCTCAACCTAGATTCAGAATTGTCTATACATTCCAATCATCCAAAAACTAGCCTTAATTCAAAACCATCCAAAAAGAACTATCCTTAAGTTATAATTGTCCAAAAAGTTATAAACTACCCAAAAACTTTATCATATATAAGTTTCTAAACAAAGTGTTGTTGTTCTGCAGTATACGGAGAAGCCACCATCCAATAAATTAGGATTTGACAGCTGAAACATTTTATAACTAGCATATTCATCTTTATAATTGAACAGAATCATTAACAGATCAGATCAACTAAATCCATGTCTGATCTGTTAACAATCAGACCTATTAGATTATGATAGTAATTGAATAATCACATTTCAACCACAAATTATTGGATTAGATTCAGCTTAGAATACAGTCCATTGATGGGCCTAGTCTCAGGTTTATATTTCTTTTCATTTTAAGACAAATTTTCCAAGGAGATCTTGTATTTCTGATTTGCCTCACCGACACCAATGATGCTAATTATAGTTGTATCAGTGACCAATTAAGGTGCTTAAAAAGATAAAATCCACATCAGGGACGTTCATAGTTAGCTCACAAAAAAATAATCCCAAGTCTACCACTACAAACTCAAGTGTTATTCATAATGTTCATTCAGAATCTTATAGTATGGACTTAGGGCCATATTTTAATTAAATGAGAGGAAAAGCAGAGGGTAATCAAAATATAAAAATACCTTGTGTATGCTGATATTATTCCATCTTTAGTGAAACTATCTTCTTGTGTGCCAATCTCATGCAAATACAGACAATCGGGATTGCTGCAAGACTGCACCAAAAAAATTTCAATCCTCACCTATAACCAATAGTCCAATTTCCAATCAATAATTCAGAAATCATGCCACATTTCTCAGCCAGGCATGACAATACTTTGTGATTCCAAAGCATGCCCTGCAAAATGAAATCCCAACACCTACATAAGAGAATACAGAATAGAACATAAATCTTGAATGTAGCCATTTCCCACCTCAATGATCTACCATCCAAGGTAAACCCATGCACTGATTGAATACATCGAACCGCTTCCTCCTCCTTTGAGTAAGTAATATATCTGGGATAGAAATCACGTTTAAGAACAGAACAGTTGTAGTGAAGTAATGGAACAAAAATATGTCAACAAGCCAGTATCAACATACAACTAGATCAAAAGTAGAAATAAACTGCATCTTCAGATTAGGCAGTTTCCTTGTACATATGAACTAATAGAATAAGCAAGAGATTGAAATGAACAAGCAATGTTTGACATAAACATTTTGAAGTATTTATAACTCAATTTCACTTCTCAAGGAAGATAAAAATAAATACATAAACAAAAACTAGCAATAATGAAAACACTTAGACTTACACACTACAAGTATTGTTTGCAAAATGTTGAATAGCACCAGCTGCTGTCCGAGATATAGACAGCTTCAGCACCTTTCCATATTGACCAAAATACTCTCTCTGCTGGAGAAGTTGCTAATAAAATGATAAAACTGTTAATGAACAGACCTATACCCCTGTTGTGACAGGTGGTAAGGGGGAGAGAGAGAGAGCAGAAAAGTACACACGTCTTCATCTGCCAGATTAAGAGGTAACCTCACAATGTAGACAAGATTTTGTTGAATCACTCGCACACTGCTAAGTTGCTTTCTTCCTTCAGATGTTTTACCTTTTGCCTTTTGTTGCTTTACTTTTCTCTCCATATTCATCTCAAAAAAATGAAATATCAGAGATTAGATTCATATCTAAAAGAAGTTAGAAAACTTGGGAAGATTTGGGGCAGATTCTGCAGAGAATGCATGTTAATATCAGAGACAAGCTAGTTTGTGTACATACAAAGAAATGCAAAAGCCTAAAAAGTTACTGAAAATGAAAGACCTAAACATTTCATGAACAAAAAACTGTGTGACATCAAGTGAGACTTGAAATTCAACTCAAACACATAAAAATCTTCACAATACTGATAAATTCAAATAAAATCTAACCCTAAAGAAGTGTTGAAAACAATTCAAATGAGGCAAAGACCTAAACAGGACATTTCTAGCAAAAAACAGAACAAGGTTCAAACACTCTGCTCCCGAAAGTCAAATTTCAAGACCAAACAATCACAAGATTCGACGAAATCCGATCCACATAATTGGAAAACTTTAAAATGCCAAAAATAAAACCAATTCTATAGTGAAAACAATGGATCTCTCACTAGACTAGCAAAATATATTGAAAACGATACGAAAACTTTGACCAAAAAAAGCTGAAAGTGGAGTCTAACACTATGGCATCAACATAAGACTCTATATAACTTGCTTTAGTCCATTGAAAAATAAATCCATCAAATGATTAACATTTTCACCTCATCAAATTATGTAATGACAAATGCCAAATAAAGACATTAAAATCTTACCAAGAAACCCAAGAGAGAGAAGCAAAGCAATGAAAGCGAATGGCAATCCTACCAAGAAACCCAATGGCCTGCAATCTGCCACATAAATTTATATCTCTCTCTCTCGCTTCCCTTTCTTTGTTGTTTGTTTGATTCTCTTCTCTCTACTCCTGCAGATTTTGTTACATTGAAGGAGAGCCTTCCACTGCGGAACAAAGAAAAAATTCAAAAAATAAAATAAAAATAAAAAACTCAGTGATTAGAGAGAAGAAGGGAAGAAAAGATGTCAAACCCGTTTCCTCTTATTGTGGAAGATAATATACAAATTAAGGTAAAAAATTAATGTGATAGTAATATTATCTCATCATTAACACGTAAAAATTAAGATAAATAATTTTTTTCTAAAAACAAATAACATAAACAAGTAAATTTTTCTATTGCATTACTGACCTGAATTTTCAGTTCCTGTAAAACCTGACACCTTCAGAATTCTATCTTTGTAGTTGAAAGCATATGGGTTTTAAGTGAATATATTCGTGTTCATATTTTCAACAAGTCTAATAGTTATACTTTGGTGTACAAATACCATCGGGAAGATTTCATTAATTACCTGTGCTTGAACTCACTTCACATTGTGAACTTTCACAAGTATCAACTTTGTCATGATTGATATAAACCTTAAAACCTACCAAGAGAAACTTAGCATGAAGGAAACCATATGAAACCATAGCAAAAATAACCATTCAAAGTCCTATATGACAAGAACAGGCAAGTTAATTCGTTATGTTTTGATATGGAGGAATAAAATAAAATAAACCAATTTCATTGGCAATAAATGTCATAAGCACATGAACATAATAAGTTTTATCTTATAGGCATATTGTCAAACACAATGTGCGCAAGGTATACATATTAATAAACACTGATTTAACGCACAAACGTACAAATCCAATACCAACATCTGCAAACAAAAGAAATTGAAAAACATGATCCTAAGTAAGAAACAAGTATTCATAGTGCTCTCCAAGTGATTGTAGGATGTCACTCACCTTGACAATCAATGTTGTAGCACCGAACATGTTTGGAGTGTCTACCCCATTGAGATAAGCTTTGATTTCTGGGATACCAGGTCCAGCCGCAGTGGGTGTGAAACACGCACAGAGAACAGCAGCAACCATGGTCAGAATAAAATTAACACCAGTAAAAAATATAAATCCCATCAGGTACCTGCATACACCAAGATGATTGCCAAAGCATTTCTCAATTCCTAGCTCTAGCCAAGGTAAACATTTTTATTTTTTTTTTGGGTGAAGGATATTTGAGAATTATCTGTTAGCTGAAAATATTTCAAATGAGTTTCTTAATTTAGTGCAAGGATATAACAATACCTTTCTTCTTCTATGTAGCGAACCACGGAGAGATGCTCGTACCCTACAATATTCTCGACTGCAAGATTGATGAACGTGGCAATTGTGCCAGTTAGAAGCCCAACAAGGAAAGCCAGCGTTCATTTTAAGAAAATATACTGCAATACTTGGCTTTTGATCTGCTTCTCCAGTCATGCTTGAAGATATCATTCTCATTGATCCTGTATAAAAAGAATTTGCTGCATAAAGAAGAATGTGAAGAAGAAAAAGGAACATTAGAATGCAAGAACAGAGTAAGATGTTTTTACTCATAGCCCAAGCTCTCAATATGAGAGACCTCTTCATGAGTTGTAATAAAGGATTAGCATGGGTGAGTTGTAATAGATAAGCTCTAGAAAATAGGCAAGTAACAGGAGCACCGGTCGGTCTTGGAAATTTCTAGGAAAAGTGATGAAATTTGTCTTCTTCTATTATGTATGTGGATGATTTGAAGCCCACGTGCCCAAAATCTGCAAGGAAAGAGTTAGAAACCAAGCAAACAGGAGCGTTATATCACTAGAGGCGGCAACGGTATACCACTCTTACACACTTTTTATATATGTTATAGATATATATCAACATAAATTACATATATAAAGCAGAAAAGGAAGATGAAAACATACTTTTAACCATGATCTTGCTTGCGATAGGGACATTGAAGAGTGAGGAGGAGGCATGAAGCCTCAAAGATTTGGGTTTAGTTTGAAATTTAAGAGATGTGACAATAATGGGGTGGGGAGTTACAGAGGAACCGAACCAAACTCCTGTATTGGTAGAGAGTAACATTGTGGACGCCTTGAAGCTCTGCTCATGATACACTATCAGGAGCTTTTAGATACACATACTTTTTCAAGCATATATATATAGGTCATTAACAAATAAATTCATATCAATTCCATAAATAGATTATAATCAGCAGGTAGCTTTGGTAACTAGTATCCATGTTAAGCTAGATTACCTCTCCTGCAGCATAGTCAATCAGAAAAACCTTGGTCAGCATCTTTAGTGGATGTTGCAGAAGTTTCACGTATCACAAGTGCTGATTCAGCAAGTTCTTCATCAGATAGATTGGCAGTATGCACGCCTCACAGCAACATTGCAGTAGCACCAGCTAGCAGAATTAAAGATGAAGAACATCTAAGCAACAACGTAATCACTATTGTAGTGTGTTACCGAGTGGAAGCAGTAAAGATGAAGCCATATTTTCTTTCTTTGGTAACAAAAATTGAATTTCAATGCAATCACTATTATTGTAGTCAAACAATAATTCTATATTTAGAATTTAGTATGTTCAAATTTGTAAATCTACACTTACAAGGATAGATGCTTTTGATTTTATTAAAATCAAAACTTTACACACAACAACAAATGAATAGCATTAACTAATTAAATATGCACAATAATTTAATAATCAAAGATGGATAGCTGTTAAGTGTTAAAGTAGACTTGAATAAATGAGAAGTCAAAAACTGAAACTAGAAAATGGATTTAATTTTCATATGTAGCATTTCACATTGTGGAAGGAAAGGGAGTTCAAAATAATATTAAAAGGACAAAAGCTTAAAACACTGATTAGATATTAAGGCCAAGTTTGGCAAGTTGAAAAAATGTTAAAAAGCCAAAAAGTTACTCAAAAAGTTAAAAAGTTATCACTATTCACCAAAAGTCAAAAAGTATGACTGCACAATTCCCAATCCTAATTTTCTCCTATACACTAATTTATACAAATTTTTAATACACCTTTTTCCATAAAAAGTCAAAAAGTTAACCCAAACATTCATATTTTTTCCCTCAACTTTTTAATCAAAAAGACAAAAAGTACACTTATTTAGGATACCCCAAACAACCCCTAACTATAATATTCTATAAAGTAGCATGAATTGTGAATATAGATTGAAAAACATGTAAATATTCTTGGGCCCCATGAAACCATGATAAATGAAGTATCTAGCAAGAAATATGAACCTGTAATGGCATAGGAGTGATGATAACTAGAAGAAACTTTAATAATTTCCTTGGAAAGTCTAGAAACTTTGAGGGGCTCCTGCATTAATAATACAACCAAATTACAAGGTCAATTCAAAAGGAACTCCATAGGAAACATTACAAATAACAATCTAAACAATCACATCTCTTTTTCCATTTTATTGGTACTAAAATAGTCGAAGAAGATAGTGAGTGAAGTTAACCAAAATAAACAGAAGTAGAAAAATAATATGTAGTTTGAGTGGGGAATTTATGCAAACATGTGTGAAGCATTGTAAAAAAAACACAACCAAAACTGTGCCATCATCAAATAACATGACCGTCTTCATAAATATGCCTTATTTTAACCCATAACAATGCACAATGAAAAAGGGTTTAATTTTACCAACATCAGCCAAGCAATCACACACAACCATATAAATCATCTCAGAAAGTCCTGCCTAGAAGATAACATACATACTCTTAACAACATTTTATCATCTTGTAATTCATACCCTAAGGCTACTCATCATACCCATGCTTCCATCCATTATGGTCCTTCAGCACCATCCAGAGCACAGCCTGCAAGGGTACCATCAATCAGAAACTACTTTACTGCACAATCATCCAATAGCTGGTTGCTACCTGTATTCACAAGAAATGCCCCTGCATAGATCAAGGCACTCCCTTGTAAGTGCAAGTTATAGGAATCCCAGTATTTTTCTTTATAAAATAAATGTACTAAATAGAAGAAACCCTGGAAAGTACCAGGCTTTATATGCTGCAAACAATCTGCATTAATAATTTCAATTGTTTCGTTTGTCAAAGCACAGTGAAGAGAAATAAGGTCACTTGCAGCAAGTAAATCATTAAGGGTATCCATTCTTTGGGCAGGAGGGAACATCATTGAGGATCTACTCAACTTTCCTTTTCCCAGCACGAATGTAATTAAGGAAAAAATTAATTAGATGACACATTTCATTTTCCCTGTGTAACGTAATTAAGGGTAATTAATTAGATTAAGTCATATATATTAGAGGACAAATATCCAATACATGACAGGAACATCGAATTCAAAAAGCCAAAAAGAAGCACATCTAGTTCTCAAATAACATATATTTAATGCCTCTGGTAATACATATAAACAAAACTTAATGTACTAACAACACTTCGCTGAAAAATATTACTAGCACTTGAGATTCTTCTCAACTTGTTGCTTTTACAAAAAAACCTCTAAGATTTCCAAAGATCAATAGACTAGATGCTCTCCAATGACAACTCTAATCAATTCAGTCACATATAACTATTTCTTAGTTCCAAGACAATAGATTGAACAATTCTAATACCTAACTAGGCCTGTCTCTTGTTGGGAATTTTATAGAGCTTTAATTTAAGTTTCGAAGTCAAGCTATTTCAGAAAACTACAGAACGAAATCTCATTGAATTTTCTTATTTCCTTTTCTCAGCAACCAAACAAAAAATGAACTACAACAGAGCAAGAAGAAGAAAAAAAAAAACGCAGCAAATCAAAGCTATAAAAAAGTGATTAATCAACTTACTCTCAGAGCTCAATCACTACAGATCCTGGACTAGAACCCCCGCAAAATCCAACAAAACAAACAGCTGAACATAAAAAATATATATATAATTTAACAACACATCAAATTGAACATGAATTCTGAAAAAATAAAGAAGGAACAGATTGTATCAATTAATAAAAACTGATACAGAGAAAAATTCAAAAAATAAATAAATAAATAAAGCCAGAAATTGATTAGAGAACAGGGGTTAAAATTCAAAAGAAGAAATTGAAGAGAGTACCTTCAAGATTCATGTCAGTCATATTACTGCGAGAGAGAGATAGGGAGAGCGACGAGACCGATCAGTGTTTATGAAGGGGCTAGGGCAAATGTAAGGAAAAAGGAAAAAAAATATAAATGTTAGGGTTTACCGAGAGAGAGAAATAGGAGGATATACATACCAGTTATTATGGAGAGGCCGGTGATGACAAGAAGCCATGCTCACCGGCGGTGGTGACGGAAGGAGAGAGGAGATGAGTTGCGCGAAGGTGGGGAGAACTAAGGAAGGAGATGAATCTCACGCAGAAAGTCAGTAGAGTTGGCTATGAAAAACAATTCAACACAATTTTTAGGTTTTTTTTTTTTTTGGAAAAATTAAAATTAATTTGAGAGCAATAAAAATCAAAACTATATTTTTAAAATTTTAAAAAGTATTTATGACTTAAAAGATAAAATTATACAAAAATAATAAGTATTTTTTTATTTTTTCACTAATTTTTTTTTTTTAGTTTTTCAGAAAAAAATAAATCTGAAACAAGTTTCTGAAAATAAAACCAAACATATTGAGGTCATGTAGGATGAGGTTTGGTGGTCAAATCTATGTGTGAGAAGAAGAACTGATATATCTAAGGCGCCAATATATTCATTTTCCTCGAAAAAACTTTTAGCAACTAAACCATTTATTTGGTGGCAAAATTATTTCTTCACTAAAAATAAAATTATTAGCCACAAAAATAGTTTTCTCACTAAATAATATTAAAATATTAAAAATTATTGGTGATGAAAATATATTCGTCATTAATAATTTTATTATTGGTGACCAATTTTTTCCTCACCAAAAGTCTGAAAATTTGGCACCATCCGAAAAATTAGCGGGAAAATCTTTAGTGACAAAAAAAATATAAATAATGACGAAAAAAAATTTCGTCACCTAATTTTTTAACATTCAACAACTAAATCAAGGTGTATAATGTTATTAAAACCCTGTCGTTTTTAATTGCTAAATATGCAGCCAGCTTCATAAGCATATCCATATCCATATAAAGCCACTGTATATTTCTTAAACTGTGAGAAGCAACAACATCAAATGGTTAAAAGCATGAGTATCTAGAGGAATATCATGGTATTATAAAAAACTAACTGTTAATAAAATAAAATAAAAAGTAAGCACTAACCATAATGCTTATGAGCATGTATTCCTAATGTTTCGTTTCATGTTCTAACCAACATTGGTGAAGATTCAGTATACCTTATTTGACTAAATTGATGTCAGGCAAGACTCGAAAATATCATCATCACAATGACAAACATCATAAAACAGCAAAAACAGCAAAAACAGCTCTTGCAATTATTCTTTTTGCATTAATACAAATGGAGATAAGGCATACAAAAGACACTTTTTAATATCATCAAACTTCTCAAATAGTCAAAACAAATTGTCATTTCATTCATTTGTCAACTAGGCCTGGGGGTAGAATAGTGAATTACTTAGAGCAAACAACATAACCTAGTACTCTCAAAATGCGAAAGGGGTAAAGTCAAAAAGTTTCAAAGTTACCTTTGTTCGACCAGGCATGATAGGCTTCCCAGCCAACAGCTCGGCAAGAATGCAATCAAGAATAACACTCAATGGTGTTCTACACAAAATTGGAAACCAATATGATGAATGTCAAATATCTTCCTCAAATCATGCTAAATGATCTTCATACACTATCACCACGACCATATATATATATATATTACATTCATACAAGAAAAGAACTTCAAAACCAGATTAACATGTTCAGAATCTGAAATACAAAATCTGAAATTAACCTGTTCAGAATCTGTTCAAAATCTGAAATTAACCTCTTCAGAACCTGTTCAAAACCAAATATAATCTGTTCTGAATCTGTTCAAAACCTATTCACATGATCTCCAATGTTGCACCTCGTACATCTATAAGAAGCGAAGAATTTAACGATCCAAGCACAAGGGTTTATGAGATGGATAATGAATTTCAGGAGCATGGTAGAAGGCTTCGAAAGATGGAGAAGAAATTGAATGTCGTGCTTTATGTCATTGTATTTTGTATTGTTTTATATTTTATAATGTAAACTACTGAGTTCATAGCTTTTGGGGAATTTGATGGATGTACTTATGGATTGAATGGACTTGATGTATGTACTTAGACGAGGAGGTTGTTTTTTTGTCCTTTTATTTTTTTTTAAATAATCTTTAGCATGATGTTCACATTTTGATTTGGGTTTAATTTGATTTGATTGTAGAAGTAAGCAAAGCAGGGCCTCTGGTTGAGTATGAGCGTAGAATTGCCACGAGTGATCTTGTGGATGGGGATAGTAGTCGGGTAATATTGCAATCAATTCACTCTTCATGTTTGATTATAAGTTTCAAAGGAAAAGCTAGTAGTTTGTATGTCTCTTCTGAATTTTCTCCAACCTAGAAGGTTAAGTTTGTCATATTCGATCGGAATTTTAGGTGAAGTAGCTGTGTATCAGTTAGTTATTATGAGCATACCACTAACTTTTGGTGTACCATTCTGGATTTATAATTTATAAACATTAATTTGTCAATTGTTGTGGATTTATATATACGAGTCTTTAATACAATTAAAAAAAAAAACAATAGTTAAACATTTTATCAATTTATACAATATATTCTTTAAGAAAATTAAAAAAAAAATCAATGTTTAATAGTTTCTTCTAGAATGTATGCTAAATTTTGTTTCTTCTTGTTTGTGATGTGTAATTTTAAATTTTTGAATGAGGCAAGTTGAAGTGAATGTATGTGGATGCATGTGGCTGTTATTACCAAAAATATAAGGAAAATGTTTTGTGCCTTGACTAGCAGGAAAAAAGGTACCACAACCAAAAACTAGGGTTTGTGTTTCTGTTTGATTGCTAAGAAAAAAAAAATTTGAAATTTGTGTTAGGGTTTTGGTTTTGGCTTGAATTTGTAGAACATGTTTTTCAGATTCCTCAATTATTGATTATTAGGGTTATGATTGTTTGTTAGGGTTTGGGCATTGTGGGTTTTGCCTTGAATTTCTATAATGGCCTTGATTATGGACTTCATTATACTTGATTTTGAATTCGATTTTGAATTTCTTGAATGGACTTCTACGGGTTGAATGGAATTTGATTCAGAACAGGTTTCTATAATGATTTTTGTTCATTGGCTCCACTATACAGATTCTGAATCTGTTCAAAAGTTGTTCTAAATCAGATTCTGAATCTATCCATTTATCAGAATAGATTTTTGTTCATTCGGAACAGGTTTCTATAATGGAACAGGTTTTGAACAGATTCGGAATAGGTTATGGACTTCCATGGGTTCTGGACTTGTTCATAGTTTAACGCTATAAATGTTGAATTTCTTGAATTTCTATAATGGTCTTGATTCTGGACTTGATTATACTTGATTTTGAATTTGATTTTGAATTTCTTGTTGAATTTGGGCATTATGGGATAGCAGTTAAGGTCTTGATTATGCTGATTTTTGTTTTTTATTTACTGTTCTTGTCAAAATAACAAGTTTAGCTAAGCACAAGTTCAATGTTGTCTTGAGTTAAAATCTATGGCTTAATCTAATATGTTTACTAATGTATGTATATATATATATTTATCTTGTATTTTAGCAAATGTTTTGGCCTTTGAACCCTAATCTCATTCTCAACCCAGATATTCATCTAAAAGCTCATCTCTAAGTTATTAATTCATAGTAGCTATGTTTACTAATGTATGTATATATATATATATATATATTTATCTTCTATTTTGTATGCAGATTACAAAATGGCTTCTTCTTCTAGTAACAATAGCTACTTAAGAGTGATACCAAGATTTTGTGATTGTGGGAGAACAGCTGCCATACACATTGTGCGAACCAATCAGAATGGAAATAAAGGGCGTGTGTACTTTGTGTGTCCATCAAAATATGTAAGTACTATGGAAATTTGTTTGCAAATTTATTAGCCTGATTTGATGAACTGATTGTCATGCATTGTAAATTAGTGAGGAACATTGCAATTACTTCAAGTTCGTAGATGATGATGACTACGACGTGATCTCCAATGCTGCACCTCGTACATCTATAAGAAGCGAAGAATTTCACGATCCAAGCACAAGGGTTTATGAGATGGATAATGAATTTCAGGAGCATGGTAAGATGGAGAAGAAATTGAATGTCGTGCTTTATGTCATTGTTTTTTGTATTGTTTTATATTTTATAATGTAAACTACTGAGTTCATAGCTTTTGGGGAATTTGATGGATGTACTTATGGGTTGAATGGACTTGATGTATGTACTTATGTATTGAATGAACTTTATAACTTCAATGGACTTCTATTTTCAATTACTGTTGATAGGTTGAAATTATTGTTGAATTTGTTGTTGAATTATGATGTCAGACATGTATGGATTGAATTATGAATTTCTTGTATGGATTGAATGGACTTTCTGAATTATGATGTCAGACATGTTGAATTCCTTGAATTTCTATAATGGACATGTTGAATTATGAAATAATTATTCACCATTGTAATTGAATGGTCATCCTATAAGGAGACTAAAGAAACTTTTACTTTAGTAAATCAAACATGGCATTAAAGAAATCTACTTATCTGTGCATAGATAACATAGCACAACTGATAGTTCCTTCACTTGGCTTCTTTTAAGGTTTTGTTTCAGGTGTTATTATTAGAGCTTGTTGGCTGCTTTCTAACATTACTTTTTTAAGGAAAAGTGGTGTGGTAACAAGGTTTGGCAGCAAAGTGGAAAGGTGGGGAGGTTCATGAGTGTTATGTTTGTCATATCTTGTAAAAGAATTTATTAGAAAAAAGGCACGAGAATCACCATGTTAGTACCCAAACTGTCATTTTTTCCCCAAGAATGTCCACATTATTAGTTGATCTAATAAATAACTGCTAACAATTGTTAAATTCAACTCACCATCATCTTCATTCATGAAATCATTAAAACATTTAAATAGAAAACAAAAGGATATAGGTACTTGAAACCCAAAATAAAATTTATTTCTTAAGCTTCAGCTTCGATGGACAACACTGCAAAACTCAATTCCATTAAATTTATTTCTATAACCTCTGTTCAACAATCATCATGTTGACCTCAATTTAACTCTTACCATGCTACTTAGACATTCATAATCTATGCTACTTACAGCCAAATGTTACTAATAATATGTAATCTCTTACCATGCTACTTAGACATTCATAATCTATAACAACTCCAAAAAAATACATATTATCCAGCAAAAGATTACATATAATCCAGCAACATATTACATATTATTGCCAAATGCTTCATTTTGGACTGCTCAATGCTGCTTCAATAGTGCATAGCCATGTTGCTTCATTCTGGACTGCATCATTATGAATTTCATGTAATTCTGGACTGCATCATTCTTAAATTCTGGACTGCATCATTCTGAGCTTCAATTCTGGAGTGCTTCATTCTAGACTGCATCATTCTGAACTTCATTCTGCTAAACCTGTCATTCTGCTTCAAACAATCAACCTGTGATTCTGCTTCTGAACCTGTCATTCTACACAAATTGACTGAATCTGAAATTTAGATTAACCTCTTCAGAATCTGAATTTGAAAATCAGATTAACCTGTTCACAATCTGAAATTCAAAATCTGAAATTAACCTGTTCAGAATCTGTTCAAAATTTGAAATTAACCTCTTCAGAACCTGTTCAAAACCTGTTCAAAACCACATTAACCTGTTCAGAACCTGTTCAAAACCTGTTCAAAACCAGATTAACATGTTCAGAATCTAAAATACAAAATCTGAAATTAACCTGTTCAGAATCTGAAATTAACCTCTTCAGAACCTGTTCAAAACCTGTTCAAAACCACATTAACTGACTCCACTAAAGGGTTAGTGCACTCTAATGGGATGTCATATAGACATAGGTTTGGGACACATGGCACAAACGTACAGTCTAGCCTGTGGTAAGCTCACAATGCCCTATCACATACAATTAAAGGTGCAACTTATCATCAAAGGGTTAGAATTCACTCTTACTCGATTACATGGCATTTTCTTGAGAAAACAATTAAAAGCCTCGTGATGAACAATCAATATGCTTGGAAAAATCGTAATGCGTGAAATGTGTACGCTAATACATAAGAATGGACTAAGTCCTTACACAATGCTTCTTTCAGGGATTAATGATATGTAGCCTATCCTATGATGGTGGTGTACATGAGCCAATGCAGGCAGATTTCAACCTTATCATAACATTGCTTTCCAGAATTTATTTTGTATTTTTCTAAAGGGTGTTGGCATTATTACGTAGCTATTATTTTGAATTTACTTGGTGGCTTATGCATTAGTTTTGGTGACATGCAGTTTTGTTACGGAATCTACCACAATTGGGTTGAATGTTGGCTTCGAGACCATTTGCCAGAAAGTGAATCCTTATCAACCCACAGCAGTTGAAGGCTTGCAAGAAAGTAGAAGCGCTTTTGGTATTTAAAACACCATTTTTTCTCTTCACTTGCGTTCTGCCTTTCTAAAAGGTTTGAAGTACAGTAATGGTTCTTATACAGCTTCTGTTTCATCCGTTTGACGTTCTGTTTTATGTCGTCTTTACCATAAATGAAACAGTGAACTCTTGTTTTCACTGCATAATGGTGATTATTTTTGCCCTTTCGGTTTTTGGTAGAAAATGCTAACCAAATGAAGTAGTACAAACCAATTAGGGGATACTAGAGCCAAAGTTCTAGTAGTTGTGACAGATTTACGCAGATAAGGTTTTCCTATGCAAGGCTTAGGCTCATATAGTATAGTAGTAAGAAAGGCTTGGCATTATAAAGGTGAACATAAACTTTTGACATGCACATATACTTTTTAAATTAGCATTGAAGATAACATCTCATAATCTTTTAAAAATTAAACACCTGTTTTAACAAGATTTTAGCTTCCAAAAAGTAAATTTTATTTCTTCTCTCCCACACACCTGTAGAGGGATTTTGGGAAAGGAAGAAGGAGAAGAAAAGAAAAGGACAGTACCCATGAAACCAAAACATAGGTATACACATAGAACTCATTGTGGTAGCATATACAAATAAACTTACTATGAAGCATACATTTTGGCAGCTCGGTGAACCCATTTCAATCACTTATTACAATGATTTGGAGGATTAGCAGAAACCAAGATTTTGTACCTGAAGTTTGCCAAGGTGCCATGCTCCAGAAATGCACACCACCTCAAGCGTTTTGTCATGCATGGACTGAAGATTGAAATCATCATCATGCTTATAATCATTTTGCCAAAGATCAACTCCACCCATATAGCTGCCTATGTTGAGCACAATTAAACCCTTAGCATCTTGGAGGAAAAGTTAAAAGGAAAAAATTTAAAAATAGTCCAATTGAAAAGGAAACCAGAACAGTAAAGAAAGAATACCTCTGTTGCAAGGGTGCTAATGGTTGTATCCTTCACATCCCTCAGCAAGTGCTCAACCCGGTTGAATAAAGAAGATAGTAGAAATTAAAGTTGAAGCTGATACAAAAACAAGATAATATGCACATATATCATATATGTGAATTTTTTAGAGGCACTAAGTAAGTTGGCAACTTGGCATCTTCTTTAAAATCAACAAAGAACGAGAGAAGACGCTGAGAAAAAAGAAAAAGAAGATGCAGGAGAGAGAGAGAGAGAGAGAGAGAGAGAGAGAGATGTAGCATCTATTTCAGGTTTCTATCCTAAGTGGCATACCAATTTCCTTAATTTCATGAGCGTCAATTTCTGAAAGCACATGCACAAATACCTTCTGGCTTTTCTGAGTAGCATTCTGCAAACATATCCAATTGTCTTCATAAATGTACATTTCTATAGAAATCATGACTTATAATGAACTATTAGCTTTGAAACTTCAAAACAATTCATAAAATACATAGCCCAGTGCAATCAATACTACATATTATGAAGAAGAACACTAACAATTGATTAGAGAACATAGTTGCCAGAAAATGGATATAAGAGCATGCTTGGAGATTCAGTATGACTTGGCGAAAATTGCAATTAACTTCCTCTGCTGGATTGCCCGTCATCAAGCATGTCTTACTTTGCCTTCAGGCTGTTCAAAAGGAAAACACCGAATTGTTGCCCCTGTTTCTTCTTTCACCCTCAACTCATCTTTGTCACTGTGCCACCAAATGTGTAGTGATCTTAGAAGTACACAATTGCATTATGATAAACATAAACATTAACCCTAAAACCAAACCAAACTAAGCTTTGTGCTCATGTGGGGTCCCCTACATTGAATTCATTTTTGTCATTCTGCTCTATCACCATATTGGTATTTCATGTTCATAAGGATCTGACAGATTTTTACATGTTGTCTGTGTAAAAGACACTAAGCACACCAACCCTATAACCCTTATATACATGGTCAAAAAAATAAGAGGCAAATAAACAAACAATTACCTTGCAGACCACGGACCCCTTGCCCATTTCCCCTGACTAATTGCATCTTTCAACTCATTATATGAGTTCACATCCACAATGTTACTGCAGAAGAATTATAAATGTGTTAAGGGTATTATCCGGACAATATACCAAAATTCAACAGACACAAAGCAAGGAAAACAAACTATCAAACACAGCAGAAAGGCAAGGATTTGGTGAACAAATTCAAATGACTGAAAGATGGGAAGCAAGAACACAAACTGTCCAATACAAAGAAGAGAGGCAAGCAGTCAGTGTACCACGCTTAAGGAAACACAATTTTGACTTCAAAACTCGTATGTGCTGACTACATTATCCATTATGTAATCAAGCAAGTATATGATCCAATCTAACTAGATCTAAAGCTAGCAATAACTTCAAGTTTACAAGTAAGCATAAAGATTTAAATAACACTTGAGGTATTTAAAATCTGTTAAAGCAGGAAAAGGAAAAAGAAAAAAGATAAATGGACATTATGTGAAAACAACAAACAGAGAAATATACAAATTATGACTTAAAAGGAGAAGAAAGAGGAAGCCACCTTATTGGTAGACAGAAAGTATTAGAATTTTGCTGAAGTACCGGTGAGCAGGATCTCCTTTAGCAAACCAGACATACCATAAAAATATATAAACTTGACATCACCTAGAGATTAGATGTAAAATGGATTTAGTACTAGAAACCTTCACCTGGATTTTTTTACAGCAATAGTGTTAAAATCCACCTACTTCACCCACTTAAACCTACTCCACTAAACCTAACCCACTACACCACTACCACCTCACCTACTCCACTAAACCTAACCCACTACACCACTACCACCTCCACTTCACCTACTCCTTACCTACTACACACTCACCCTCTTCTATATATAGGAATCATGAATCATTGTAATAGATATCAATATAAATCAATCAATAATACAATTCTCTATTTCTCTTTATACATTAAATTTCTACATGGTATCAGAGCAAGGTTAAGCACTTAGTATTTTTCGTTTCACGCGGCGACAAACCTCGCCTTGGCCGCCCGCCGACCTCAACCTATTCGCTTATTTTCTACACAATACCCTACCCATCAGCCTAAATCCTCTCTCTTCAGCCAATTTATTGAATCCTCTTCTTGCGTCCAATAATATTGCACTCATATCCTCTGAACATACGGTTACCTTCCTGGAGCGCTTTAAACTATACATAAATAACTCCCAACCCATTCTCACTATCCTCCTATTATACCCTTCCTCCATCCACTTATTCGCTCTCTCCATCGACCCTCTCTATGGTTCTTAGCGCACTAACACTTCGGCGCACTTCACTTGTTAGTGTGTGAGGTGTCTTGCGCTTCACGCATTAAAGCCTACTCCGGCAGTTTTAATGAAGCTGTACTACAACTGGGCATCTTCCTGCTTCTCAATGCAAAAGCTCCTCACGGGTCCTTTAGCTCTGGTGGTAGCAAATATCCATCTCGCCACAGCCACTAATTCGCTATTAAAACTAAACTATGGAACCATATATCTCTGAGTCTTCGCAGCTGGCTTGCGCCTCTATAATGCCCAGCGAGCTGCTATTCGAGGCTTTCACCATGCGTAGGCTTTAAGTTCTATATTAGGCACGCCACAGAAAGCATTTGTCTATGTTTGCAGTTCTAAACACATGCTACTTCACTTTCTACACCCCTTTATACTCCAGAGATTTCTTCTTAACAGCATATACGCTAATAGAAGCCTTATGCATGTCCCTCAGCCCACCTTTGCGCACTAGCTAGAGACAGCATCAATATATCGACTTTGAGCAGGCAGCCTTCGCTTATATGAGAGACTCTCTCTCCCTCTGGTGGACCTCCAAGCTGTTCGATTCCCTCGTAGCATCGAACATCGATACAACTTACTCAGTTGCCACATTCGATATAGGGAAGTTAGTTTCGAAACTTACATAGACGCGAAGGCTACGTTATATCACGAACCAAGATCTGACTCTCTCTATACCTACTCTTTCCGACTTTGACAAACTTAATGTTTAGCATGACAGTTATGTTTCAACATGTCTCTTGTCACATCCTTCTCTCATACCAGCTGGATCATTGTCGAACCTTTGACTGTGCACGCTCGACATGAAAGTATTATTAGACAGTGATATATCTAATAAATGCGTGAGCACTCGACTACATCGTTATAATATTGCTCACGCCTAAGGTGAAATCCAGTTCAAGTCAATGTTTTGATATTTGAGCCCTTGGAGGTCGATTTGGTCACATACTTACTAGGACTCCATTCGCTTGATATAGCACACTCTCTGGTTCTCATTTTACTCCCCCTATCATGCGCATTGAGACGCTTGATACTCCCATTTCTTTGCTATAGCATTATGTGTTGGCCGTCTCTTGCTACCATTTCTTCCCCTAAGCGCCTTGTGGATAGCAGCTAGATTATTTTTGGGTGCATCGCTATCACTTTTCCCCTCTTTTCTTCACATGGCTTGTCCCTCTCTCTCTCCGTATGATTTCAAATCCATTATTTTTTATTTTATTTCTTCCTCACAAATTACTATCTCATAATTTACCACTTCACCTCTTCCTTCATTTCTAGTATATACTTCTCTGAAACTATAAGCCAAATGTAAATTTTACTCTACTTTTTCTTTACTCCTTTTATCTATAATCACACCATTTCACTTTCCAATTTTCAACATCTATCATTGGATGACGGCTTTCCTCACAATTATTTCCAGTCTACACAACTACCCCATCCTACCTATGCAGCTTATGCATGCACCAACAACCAATCACCTATACTTCATTAATTCTATCCCAACATCACGTCTGAGGAAAAAGGTCCACCATTTCCAAAAACGATCTTTACATTATATTTTCCTCAAACCAACAAATCAACATTATACACACTTAACATTAAGCATAATTCTTCTATCTAAACTTTTTCATACAACTTATACAAACTCCACAATACCTCATAAAACTTATTACCTATCAAGCAACATACAAGATATAATTTGCATTATATCATTTTCTGACAGACGCAACATCACTTGTAGTGTGTACGCAACCAACTCAACTTTTCGCTCATCTCGGCAACACTGAGTATCTTTGTGTTGACGTATATACTATAAGCGTCACTACCGTCCTGTCGTCGGTTCCATTTAAACTTTGGTAGTTACAGAATAAGCCCTTTCATCAGTGTTTCACCTTAATTCACTTCTCATAGTAGAGTACCATCCAGAATCCCTCACTAGACTGCCTACGACTCTATCACACTCTAACAAGCATAATGGATAACACTACATCATAAATCACGAAGAAACATCAACGTGTGTCTACATTGCCCGAGACTTCAGCTATACACTTGATTCTGAGAGTTTGTCCCATTGTTCTTTAAGCACCTCTAGTCTACTTGCTCGCAAAAGATCGTGAATGCCCATGACAAAGGTCATCTTCTTTACTCGGACATCGTCCTGTTGGGCTGCACTTGTCACAACTACAGCTGTGGAAAGGTTATTACGACTATTTTGTCAGTCACACATTTATTCAAATTTGTACCTAGCTCTGCAGCCGGTGCGACATAAGTTTGGTGACCTTAACATTGGATATTGCATATCTATGTGTTTTCCATAACAGCTATTTACTATCATAGTAAGTAATAGAAGGTTGGGCTTCATATGATATCTATATTAGTATGTCACCGCCAATTTTTGCTCCACCGACCGCATCATTAGAGGAAAAAGGATTGATATCTCTACATCTGTTATGCTAAATCAGGCGATATGTAGTGGATAGTTGGTTGGGTTGGTATAGTAAGAGATCATTAGTGATAGCGCTCTAGCGCGCAACCATGTGTCCTGCAATACTTGGGTGTCATTGAGATCAGGTTGAGGACCTCCGGGCAACAGAAATCGAGTGGACAGCCCAACGGGTAAGCGAAGCCCTTCCTACTCCCGGCAACAGAGTAGCCCTCTACCACAACACACGAGCAGTAACGTTGAATTCGATGGATTGGAGAAGTGGTTACTGACATCGTAACACAAGCAAAAGAAGAAAGAAATTAATATTCAAGAAAAGGCTTGCCAATCTCACTGTCAAGTTTTTCTGTCTCAGCCGGGTTGCAGGACTCGAAATGGCTTGGGGTGTGAATTGCCGGGAAAGCGATTAAGTGCGCGTACGCTGGTTAGGATCAGCAGCGAGCCAGATCATGAGAATTCTGACGAGAGAAACCGACAAAACTGGAGCGAATGCCATGCCCTGGAGAGCAATACACACAAACAGTGTACCTCGGCCGAGTACATTGGAATCTGGACACGTTCACTTTTGTTTATTGAAGATTGGAGTTGTGATTATATACTGTTCCATTTTGATGGACACACAGTTCGTATAATATTTTTGAGAAAGTATTACATAGGACTACTACCACCTGTTTTGAGATAAGTTAAGA